AATGTTGATAAGGATGTGGAAAAAAAGGAATCCTTGTGCACCGCTGGTGAGAATGGAAACTGCTGCAGCCACTGTGAAAAATGGTATGGAGTTTCCTCAGAAAATCAAAAAAATAGAAATACTGTATGATCCACTGACTCTGCTACTGGGTATTTATGCAAAGAAAATGAAGATGCAAATTCAAAAAGATAAATGCACCCCTACGTTTATTGCAGTGTTATCTGCAGTAGCCAAGATATGGAAGCAACCCAAGTGCCCATCGATAGATAAGTGGATGAAGATGTACACCCCGGCTCCGCCCTGCCCCACGTACAATGGAATACTACTCATTCATAAAAAAAGAATGAGGTCTTGTCATCTGCAACCACATAGATGGATCTAGAGGGCATCATGGTAAGTGAAATAAGTCAGACAGAGAAAGACACATACCATACGTATGTGTCTACATACCTACTTGTATGTGAAATCTAAAAAAATAAAAAAAAGAAATAAAGCAGAAACAGGCTCATAAATATAGAGAACAAACTGGTTGCCAGAGGGAAGGGGGTTGGAAGAATGGGAAAAATGGGTGGAGGGGGATGGGAGATGCAGGCTTACAGTTACGGAGGGAGCAGCTCATGGAGATGGGAGGTGCAGCACAGCAAACACCGCCGACGGTAATGTAATGGACGTGTATGGGGACAACCTCACCGTGGTGTAGTGACGTGGCGGTGGGCACAGCATGGCACACAGACCTACTAAATTACTATGTTGCATGCCTGTGCCCTTGAAACCAACGCAACATGTGTCAAATATACTTCCATCTAAAAAAAATAAAATAAAATAAATGAATGTGGCTGAGAAAAATTAGATCATTTGCCTAAGATAGCACATGCGGTTAGAAGTCATAAAGCCAAAAAACACACATTCTTTCCAACACTCTGTCCAGCACATGCCAACAATATTAGGAAACAGTTGACCTTCAGATTCTGAAGCAGACGAGGAAACTCTTATTGGCAGATATGGAATAAGGGTGGGTCCACTTCCTTAGTTCATGTTAAGAGAGTGTCTCATTTTTTTTTCATTAATGTATATTTTATAGAAGAGTTTCTAAAGAAAGAAGACGTTCAAGAAGGATGCATGTGAGGACTTGGGGAAAGCACGGATTAGAGTTCATTACTGACATTTTCAGACTGAAACAGACTCCCCCCACTCTAACCTGGACTCCAGAATTAGGGAATCAGGCTAAACATTAGGATAGAAAGCCTGTCTGCTACCTGGAGTTTTCCACTAGAGACTAACCCAAATCCCTCTTAAAGTAGTCCTGTTCGTGTTGTCTTTGAAAGTGTCAGAACAGCCATTTACCATTTTATGTAGGAGAATCATTAAATTACTAGAAGATATTATTCAGCATTCTCTTTCAGTTTTTATTCCTTTAAGGGAAATAATCCTAACTCTTCTAGGTTTATATCATTCTTCTAACATTCTTTCTACTTTTGTATCTCTTCTCTCAGCATCCTTTATTTTGTTCACAATCCCAAGATAAGGAACCCAAAGCTTGTTTGGGAAACGATTATTTCTGTGTTTTTGTTTTCTCCTCTCATGTAAGATTTACAATAATTTAAATGTTTCCCAAAGTTAAACTAAGAACTACAGAGGAGGCAAAGTAGAAACTATTGAACTTCACCTCAAAGAATTGCTCACTGGGCATGCCTAGTAATCCAAGAACGATATTAGTGTGTGATTCAAATGTCAGATTGTGGGATACAGGAGTGTTTTGGAAATTTAGAAAAGCAATAGAGTGCCATGGGCTGTTAAGGAAAGACCCATGAAAACGGATGAATAGAGAATGAGCCTTAAGAGCACCGAGGATTTGAAGGGAAAGAATTAGAAGGAATATAGAAGAAAGCGACAATGGGAGCAGGTTGGAGTATAAAAATATCTAAACAGGGAGTTCATATGGAAAATACATCTAAGACACTTTCTTTTAAAAAGCATCTTCCATCCAAAGCCTTATACTTATGTTGATAGTTACCATGTCCGTATGGACATTGTCTAGACGGATGAAGGACAGCATCTCTCCTCTTCAAAGATAAAATTTTCATGAATCAATGTGCTTGGCTTCTATAATTAATGGAAATCACGTTGAATGTTAATTCTATGTTCTTAATTAGTATTTCACTACTGAGGACACATGGAACATGAAAAAAACTGGGGACCAGCCATCAGGCTACGGAAATTTTGTAGATCTATTAGGACATGATAAGGGCTCAAAAAAACAAAAAACAAAAACAAAAACAAAAACCAAAAAAAACAAAAAACAAACAAAAAAGATAAGGGCTCAATAAACATTTACTGAATCAATGGAGGAATGAAAGAAAAAGAGAAAGAGGAAAGATGGAATCTTGGAACATTATTTCTCATTAATTTTTTGAAAAGTTAGGTGAGCAGTTATGTAAATCATACTTAGTATTTCGAATTCCATCTCTAGGTTTAGGTTACTACAACTTGCTGGGTTCTCAGGGACACAGGGTATACAGCTGGCAGATTTTTATTTTCTTTCTCTAATTAACTACGGTTCTTCACCTTTTCTGTAAAGTTCTCGAAATTTTCAATAGGCAACAAGAGATACAACGTAAGCAGTTCCATTATTTCTTCCAGAAACAGCCCACATTTGAAATATCAGAAGATAGCTCAATGGGAATAGGGGAAGACAGCGATAATTTGGCTCTATCTTGTAGATCCTAAAAGACATGGAAAAGAATTCCGAGAAACATTAGCTGCAGTCTAAGTGACCCACTCCTCATCGGCAGAGGTACGGAGGGGAGCGCAATAAAGAATGTAAGAAGTTATTTACAATAACAAACTCCTTTCCCCAGGGGTAAATTTTTCCGGAGCAGGAATGTACTGAAATCCTTTGCATAAGCAAGAGCTGAGTTATACAAACATTTCAGACGCTGCCGTAGATAGGGAAGGCCATCTCGGCATTCCAGACTCGCCTGCGTTGCTGCACATTGTGGGAAAAGGGCCACCAGCCTTGAAAACAGAGTGGCCTGTTCTCAGGGTAAGTTCTGGAGCAGGATGGCCTTGGCTAAGCTACTTAGCCCCTCTGAGTCCGATTCTTCAACTGCAAAACAGGGATCATCCTACCTTCCTCTTAGGATGGTGGTTGTATGGAGAAAAAAGAGCGTCTGCCAAAGCCTCACAGAGCGCCTGATGAGTAAAGGGAACCCAGTAAACGGTAACTTGCATTAATTCTCTAGAAACCACAATGGGGCTCAGATTCCTCACTTAACTCCGTTCACTGGTGATCAGACGTGTCCCCACCTTGGCAAGAGGGAAAAGGCCCTCTTACCTTTGTGAAGGGAATCAAACAAACCTGTTAATTCCAAACAGAATCATTCTTATGAAAATCTACAAGGAAGGAATAAGGCTAGAGCAAATTCTCAATTACCCAGTGCAGCAGAAGGCAGCAATCCCTGGGAGCAGGGAGTACCAGGCCCTTTGTTCCACTTCTGTTTTGGGTTTCAGCTCTTCCTTGCCCCCCACCCCCAGCCCCGCCTCCCACTTCACTCCAGTTCACCCACAGTCTGTCAGTCTTTTCCTCACATCCACCACCCTACAAACTAACTCAGATTTTCCCAGTTTTTAAGAAGACTCCTATTGAAAAACTTTAGGCTCAGGAAAAATCTAGAATTCAAATCATCCCAACAACTTAAAAGGGCAGACTCCCTCCCCTTACACCTTGATCATGATTAAAAATGTCAGCTATGTGAGGAGTCTCCGATCTGTCTAGATGATGCACAGTGCCACAAACGCACATGCCGTTTCAAGATATTTCAGTGTGGCTAAAATATACACACACTACTGAAGAGAATCAAGGTCCTTGTATTAGAATAAAGGAAAGCTCCTTCTATTTTTAGTTATGAAACATTATTATAAACCTTAAAACCTCCAATGTGCTTTAAAAAAAATCTACATCTCAAGAATAAGCTCTTTAAAGATCTTAAGTCTGCGCAGTGCGCTATTGAAATCCACTTTGAGGGCTGGGGAAGGGGGAGAGCGGGAATGGGGTGGATCTAGGGAGAGATAGTTGGGTTTTTTGGTTTTTGTTTGTTTGTTTGTCTTTTGTTTTCAAACCTGTGAAATGTTTTATAGCCACAGAAATGGTTTTGGAAACAATGACGCCAAAGCTATTGAAAAGTTGGACTCCTGGACTTCCTGTTGGCGTAGCACAAATACAGAAAAATCTACAAATAGATCCTCTAACAAAGCTTTCGATTATGGATATCATGAGGGAACAACTTCAGGTCACAGACGCTTGCTACCATCAATGACCCCTTCCTGTGGCCAGTCTAGGGCAAACCGGTGAAGTGGTATAAGTTTGTCTTCTGTGACTTCCTGAGGCCTACTCCTATTCCGCAAGTTCACCCCTGCCCAGGATTTGTCTTAAAAATATCAACCTAATAAATCACTGATCAGGGGAAATTAGTTTCTGTCCAACCTCTTACAAGAGTCCACGTTAAGAAACAAATGATTAGTAGGAAGCACCCAACCCTCAAAGAATAAAGCTCTGCCGGTAAAACCTCAGATACCGTGGGATTTAGGTAGGGGATTATTTGGGTCAGAGATTTCCTAGCACAGAACCAAAACTGGAATCATATCAGTGGTAATAATCGCCTTGTACTCTATTTCTCAAATTTTGGTCGTGGGATCACCATTTAGATACCTGTTAAAAAGAAAATAAAAAACAAGAACAGATTGCAGGCCCTATCCTGGAATCATTAAAGCGGAATTTCTGGGAATGAGGAACTTATGATTCAGAAAAAGACAAGTAGGTTAATGAACACAAACGAATATTATTATTCCAAGTCTAGAAACCAACCGATTATGCTTTATGGACCAAGCCTAGGGTTTCCGTGCGGTAAGAGGCCTACCGGTACTGCCGGCTGTGTTGGAACCGCGTAGTTTTGGACCAGTAGCAGTACCTGAAGAACACCACCTTCGTCTCTTGGTCTTACCGGGCACTCCGGCTTGGATCCAGAAGTTAATGTCCGTCCCTTCTCCGGCCCTGAAGACCCGCGTGACGTTGACAGGCTGCAGCAGGCGCATGACCTCCTCCACGATGGCCCTGGCCTGGTCGCTGCCCGTGAACTGCAGCCCAGAGGGCAGGAAGGTTCCCAGGTCGGACTCCATCACCAGGCTATAGTTGGAGATGTTGGCCTATGCGCAAGAGAGAAGCGTTACCTGCCGCTGCCTTCTCCCCGGGACCGCCCAGTGGCGGCCAGCGGACGCCTCGTCTCCTGCCCTTCCTGCCCCGCCTGCCCTGCCTGCTCCTGCCCCTGCCCCAGGTCTGCTCTGCGTATCAGCTGAGCCCTCGGACATGCGCGATTACTCCATCTGCCACCTGCCACACTCGAGTCGACTTGGAAGGATTTTAAAAAAATATGATGAAAGGAAATATAAAGCCTCATGTTGCAGTCACTCGGTTATTCACAGGAATGCCTAGGGAAGCGGGGTCCCTCCTCCGGGGCAGGTACCTCCACGGGCATCCGCCAAGCTCGGACAGATGGAGGGATGCCCCAGGACCGGTTTCTCTGCCTCTTTCCTCTAATAGGTATTTGATCTCATTCTAATCGTGAGCTCTGCTGAGGCTTAAAGGCATCCAACTGACAGGTTGGTCTTGGGTTCCTGAGGCTGTGGTTCCTCCATCTGCTGGCTCTCCAGGGACGGAGCTAACAGGACCACGCGTGAACCTCCACGCTCTCTGGTGCGCAGCCATGGCTGCAACCCTGGCAACAGTCAGGCCGCTGGCTTGGAAACTCCTTCCAGATGCAGAGAGAGCCCGTGGGGCCCTCACGTCACTCGACGGCCCTGCGAGGGCCAGGGTGCAGGACGCCGCCCGCCGCTGGGCTGCACAACTAGCAGCCACACGGCCCTGGGCTCCCAAGTGTCAGGCCTAACCACCTGTTTCCCAGGACGCCATTCGCGTCTCCACCGCTGATCAACTACCACCGACAACCACCCGGCTGAGTTACTCCCATGCTATCCTCGACGGCGCTGCTAGTCATTCCCTATTCCTCAGCTAGAAAAGTCAACAGTAACATGCGCACGGGGCTTCTAGAAAACTCTCGCATTTGCAGTCTCCTTTTATCGGCTCTGTAACCCGTGAAGTACACAAAGCAGTTCTGCGGTTGATGCTGTTTTACAGAAAAGGACTGACGATGAGAGGTCAAGGGACTGTAAGCAAAGTTTGCAAATGGTAGAGCTGGGGTGTGGGATCCCGTGCTCTCCAGGACTCTAGGCTGTATGGGCAGAGGGGTAGGTGGGGCCTGTTACAAATTCAAATGAGTTTCCACTTACATAACAATTTGAGGGTTGCTTTTTTTTTTTCTAGGGCAGATTCCTTTTTACCGTGATCTCGTAACCCGCGTGGAAGCGCACTGCTGTTACAAGGACAAGAACAGTGCCCGATTCTAAAGGAGGACGTTGCCGGCTTTTATGGGACCGACAGGGTGGCCCCGGGAAGCCAACGTGTTGTTGCTTTTTTTTTTTTTTAAATAAATTTATTTTTTATTGGTGTTCAATTTGCCAACATATAGAGTAACACCCAGTGCTCATCCCATCAAGGGCCCCCCTCAGTGGACGGAGACAGTTCACCAAGCAGATGCCGTCTCATGTCTGCACTCTCATGTCTAAGGGGTTTCCGTCTTCACGGCGATCTTCAGAGAAAGACCCGAGGCCTGTCATCTCAGCTTCCAGCTGGGGCTACTCAACAACAGCAGCAGCACCTGAGCTAATTAATATGCCAAATATTAGCATCGATGTCTCACGTTCAGGGCTCGTGGCGCAAGGTCAGTGAGCTGCCAGCGTCTGGCAGTCCTAACCTTCTCCCCTTATAGGCCCTGCTGCTCCCGACCCCACTCTATCGCCTGCACAGAGAATAGAAACACAATATCTGCAAACGAAAACACAAGCGGATCATCTTCTAGGTGAGGGTTTCCATCCTGTGGGCCGATCCCATCCTTCTAACGAAAGAATTACAGAAAGCACCCTAATCTGGCACCATTTAGGTCCAGATGGAGCTATGTAGGACTTTGGCTGTGAGAGCAGCCCGGGGAGGGGGACATCGCCCCGGAGCTCTACTCCCTGCGGGGCTGGGCCGCACGTCGGGGCGGTGACTAGCCTTCTTCCTCGGCACGAGGCTGGTCATCCTGGCCGGTGGCTCCTCCATCTGCACGACGGGACAAGCGCACTTCACCGAAGCTCGGGTACTAAGCCTGTGCACGTGGAGCTTTGAGCACCTTCAAAGCAAAGACCTTTGTGGGCCAAAGTGGAAGTGGCTGCATAAGTTGAAGCCACCGGGACCCCTCACATGTGCATTAGGGACTTCTTGGCTGTCTTCAACGGCAAGTGAGCAGATGTCCTAGGGAGGGGGGCTCCACGCTTTGGAAACGCCCCCGTACAATGTCCCAGCACGTTGCCAGCAACACAGAGAATAAGGTACCCAAAGAAGCTCCTCAAGGAACCCGCGGCAGCCGGAGACAGAGGGGATGGGTGGGCTTCGGGATTATTCAGAGCGGGATTGAGCCTCGGATGGATCAGTCATCGTCTGCGTCCTTCGTGCAGCTTATATATAACCTCCCAGTTTCTTCTCTACACAACAGGTGGGGTAGTGGCAGCCAGTGCCGAGGTGTGCCTCCCAGATCCTCAGCCCTCAACCCCTCCGCTACCCGGCCTGCCATCGCTTCCTCCCAATTGTCAGGCCGCAGGTCCTCACCTTTAATTTAAAAAAATACTGGGGCAGCTTGGGTGGCTCAACAGTGTAGCGCTGCCTTCAGCCCAGGGCCTGATCCTGGAGACCTGGGATCGAGTCCCAGTCGGGCTCCTGCATGGAGCCTGCTTCTCCCTGTGCCTGTGTCTCTGCCTCTCTCTGTGTGTCTTTCATGAGTAAATAAATAAAATCTTAAAAAATAAATAAATAAAAATAATAAAAAATATTTTTTAAAAATACAGAGTCTGTAGTTTAATACACAGAGCTTCAAGTTACTTTTCACGATCCTAATACAAGGTCTCCGCGGGCAGAACTGATCATCCCTGGTCATGACGTGACCTGATGAAGCAGAGGGAGGAGTAAACGAAACAAAAGCAAAAAAGCAAACAACTCTTGCCCCACAATTTCCTTCCAAGTAGGAATAAAAAAAAAAAAAACCCTAAAATAACAAAACATCTCTTCAAGCTGAATTAGACAGATGTGCAGATGTCAGTACCCGGAGCTCTGGTGTAGGTGGAGACGTGTTTCATTTCTATGTGTGTAGAGTTTTATTAGCTGCTGCTGCCCTGATGGCAACACTCTATTGTTTTCTATTTATATATAAACATCTCCATCTGTTCCCACTAAAGCACTAAGAAAACACGCCCCTGCCGGCCGTGACTGTCGTTTGCGGAGTCCCTGTCTCACCGCTAGCGCCTGGCCAAGGACTCCGACCCTGACACCTCTGCACCAGGGCCCCGGAGTGAGTGAGCCGGTCACCGCTGTGACACCTGCCCCTCACCAACACCTGGTCCCCGCTGCACCGCCAGCTGCTGGGGATGCACCGGGGTCACTGGAGAAGCTGCTCATGGGCAGCGACAGGGCAGTGGAGCCCCGCTCACGTCACCCAACCGTCTGGGCCCGCAGTGCTCATCCTGCGTCTGGGGCGGGGAAGCCTGCTCCCAGGGCCTGGGGCCGAGGGGCCGAGGGGCCGAGGCGGAGGGGCAAGGAGGCCGCAGCTCGGGCAGCCAGGCGCCCTCCGTGGGCACTCACCAGGCCCTCAGGACACAGAGGACAGTTGTCTATCCGGGGTCGCGAAACTCGTTCATGCCATGTGATGCACATAATGTGAGGAAGGGATGCGCCCGGGAGGGCATCGTCGGGTCAGGTGACAACCGCTCAGGCTCCAGGACTCGGTCTGGTGCTGCGATCACCTCCCATCACCCTTCCTTTCTTTCTTCAGTCCTGGGCGGCGGGGGGTGGGGGTGGGGGGTGGGGTGTCAGGTCACTGCAGATGAACAGAGCGGGTAACTAGCAGCGCTCCTTGGGTGCAGCCCAGACCCAAGAGGAGAGCTGTTTCCCCAGCAAAAGATGACGTTTGCGCCCTTGGATTTTGGGAAATTCCAGGCAATTCTTCTTCAGAAATATAGACTCACGTCCAACAACATCTCCTCTTTCCCCGAATTTGGCTTCTCCTTTATTTGAGGCTTTTATTTTCTCATAATGTAGGTGACAGGTCGTTGGTTTTTACCCTATGGTGAACCTGCAGTCCCAAGATCGGATGAAAACCAGAGACTCCTAATTGTTCCAATTCATCATGTCGCCTCCTCGATTCAATCTTCAAAGAAATCAGCTCCATCCTGACGGAGGCCAGTAGGTCCAGTTACCACTCTCCTGCCCACGATGTAATATTTTACAGATGCCACTGCTTGGTCAGTGGAGGGCCCAGCACAAGTCCCCAGAAACACGGTCGACACTGCACCGTGGCCGTCGTCTTCTCCAGCGGCGCACATGACCTCGGAATTCCCAGTCGGGGTGGAGGTGGAGCTGGGCTTTCTTCACAGAACTTCAGCCTAAGCAGCTGTCGGGTTGGATAACAGGTCAAGAGGAGGCTTTGCTCTCTGGTCACATGGACCCTGAAGCGCAGCCTTCTATTTCTGAGGGTCGCCAGCATTCCGTCTTGAACATCCTTGCGTCCCCAAGAGAGAACCAGGAGAGGATGGTGACAAGGCACAAGGCCACAGGTTATTTTTATTTGACAGTCAGGCCGGCTGTGGCTCGGGGGCTCGGGGGGGCGGGCAGTCTCAGGGAAGTCACGTTCCTATGTACGCTGCAGACACCCATTGTGGATCAGCCACCGGCCTGTCCGGGGATGGGGACAGAATGAGTGACCCTTGAAGATCCATCTGCAGCCCTATCACCCTCTGTGTGTGCACGGAAGGGTTCTGTTGTGAGATGAACCTGCGTTCTCAGGCAATCCAATTTTTACAATGTCCCTCGAAGCACTCTAGATCCAGTGAATTCTCCTCTCGAGCTGGTTAAGGGCCTGAGACAGCCTTGAAACGCACTGAGAGCACCTGACCCCTCCATAAATGTCACTATGGCAACCACGGTAAGTGCGAAGGCTGAAAATACGGCATAAACATAGGCTGAGAGGAACAAGAATTTTATTTGTATCGCAGAGGAAATA